CGAGTAGCTGGGATTACAGGTGTGAGCCACCATGCCTGGCTAATTTTTGTATTTTTAGTAGATATGGGGTTTTACCACATTGGCCGGGCTGGTCTTGAACTCCTGACCTCAGGTGATCTGCCGCTTTGACCTCCCAAAGTACTGCTGATCCAGCTACTTCTTAGGTTGTTTGAGAAAATTGAATGAAATGTTATATGTGAAGTGTAGTGGCTAGACATTGGGTTGAGTAAATGCTTCATGAAAAACCACTTTGAAAAACATGATTTCTTTCAATGTCATTTCAACATTGTGAGAAAGAAGTCAATTCCTGGCCAGAACTACTGTCTGTTTGGAGTTTGCACGTTCTCCGCATGTCTATATGTTTTTTTGGGGTATTGCAGTTTCCTCCCACATTGCAAAGGTGTATATGTTGGGTGGATTTGTGTATCTGCCTGGTCGCAGTCTGAGTGTGGGTGTGTATGTGAGTGACCCTGTGTTGGGATGGCATCCTGTTGGGGCTGGTTCCCATCTTGCTCCTTGAGCTGCTGAGATAGGCCCTGGCCACCTGTCACACTGAACTGGAACAAGCAGGTTGGGAAATGAATGAATGCATATAAATTATTGTGAAACAAAAATTCATGAAGTCTACTATAATAATATAAATGCACAACAAATAAAGTGCTCAGCGAGCCTGCCCTATTTGTTATCATTTGTTTGTTTTTTAACTGCTTAATGGTAGGAATATTCTTTTTTTAAAATTTTTTATTTTTTTGAGACAGGGTCTTGTTCTGTCCCCCAGGTTTGGAGTGCAGCGGTGCGATCTTGGCTTACTGCAACCTCCACCTCCTGGGCTTAGGTAATCCTCCTATCCCATCCTCCCAAGTAGCTGGGACTACAGGCGCATGCCACCACACCCGGCTAATTTTTGTGTTTTGTATAGAGATGGATGTTGTCATGTTGCCCAGGCAGGTCTCAAACGCTTGGGCTCAAGCATTCCACCTGCCTTAGCCTCCCAAAGTTCTGGTATTATAGGTGTGAGCCACTGCTCTCTGCCGTAATATTCTTAGAATTTTTACTTTGCAAACATTTATTCCTTGATTGGTTAAATCCAGTGGTGGTTACACCACCACTATAACCACTGTCACTTTCCGACTCACCAGAAATTACATACATAATTGTCTTGTTAATCTCTTAAAAATGTGTATGTCTCACACAACAGAAATCAAAGCTTTCAGAAAACAATTACCTGCCCTGACAATGTAACACATTCCAAATTTTTGTGTTTGATTGTATTCCATCCAATTCTATTTTATTTTTTAAAAATTCTGGTTAATCTACGAAATCAATCTCATGACCCCTAATGGATCTTGACCTGCAGCTTAGAAAACTCTTTTAAAACTAATTTAGGCTGGGGCCGTGGCTCACGCCGGTAATATCGAGCACTTTGGGAGGCCGAGGCAGGCAGATCATGAGAGACCATCCTGGCCAACATGGTGAAACCCTGTCTCTACTAAAAATACAAAAAAATTAGCTGGGCATGGTGTTGCGTGCCTGTAGTCCCAGCTACTCAGGAGGCTGAGGCAGGAGAACCACTTGAACCCAGGAGGCAGAGGCTGCAGTGAGCAGAGATCATGCCACATTGCACTCCAGCCTAGGGGACAGAGCAAGACTTTGTCTCAAAAAACAAACAAACAAAACCTAATTTAATACATGTACACACAGACTCATACAAACCCCTTTGAGATAAAAACTATTATTGCACCCATTTTTCAGTAGAGGAAATTCTGGCACAAAGAGGTGAAATAACTTGCCTAAGCACACACTGCTAAGGATGAGGTAGGAGAAACAGGTTCCAACTCAGGGAGCTAGCTCCAAAATCTGTTCTTTGAACCATTCTCTCACAGGGGGTCTCAACCCATCAGCCACATGGTGATAATATCTGTTTGAGCCGGGTGCGGTGGCTCACACCTGTAATCCCAGCATTCTGGGAGGCTGAGGCAGGTGGATTACCTAAGGTCAGGAGTTTGAGACCAGCCTGGTCAACATTGTGAAACTCCGTCTCTACTAAAAATACAAAAAATTAGCTGGGCGTAGTGGCAGGCACCTGTAATCCCAGCACTTTGGGAGGCCAAAGTAGGTGAATCACCTGAGGCAGGAGTTTGAGACCAACCTGGCCAACAAGGTGAAACTCCATCTCTACTAAAAATATAAAAGTTGGCCGGGCATGGTGGCTCACGCCTATAATCTCAGCACTTTGGGAGGCTGAGGCGAGCAGATCACCTGAGGTCAGGAGTTCAAGACCAGCCTGGCCAACATGGCGAAACCCTGTCTTAAAAAGGAAAAAAAAAAAAAAAAAAAAAAAAATATATATATATATATATATATGTATAAATTATCGGGGTGTGGTGGCACATGTCTGTAACCCCAGCTACTCCGGAGGCTGAGGCAGGAGAATCACTTGAACCCAGGAGGCAGAGGTTGCAGTGAGCTTAGATTGCACCATTGCACTCCAGCCTGGGCAACAAGAGCAAAAACTCTGTCTCAAAAATAAAAAAAATAATAAATATCTGCTGATACATATTTGGCCCTCCAAAGGGGTGATGCGAGTAATATTCTGACAGCTCTGTTAAATTTATTGGAGTGTTCAAGTTACAGCAGATTTAGGGAGCAGAAGTCATATTTTCTTTCTTTCTTTTTTTTTTTTGAGACAGAGTCTGTCACCAGGTGCCAGGCTGGAGTGCAGTGGCGCATCTCGGCTCACTGCAACCTCTGCCTCCCGGGTTCAAGCAATTCTCCTGCCTCAGGCTCCCGAGTAGCTGGGACTACAGGCGTACGCCACCACGTCCAGCTAATTTTTGTATTTTTTTTTTTTAGTAGAGATGAGGTTTCACCATGTTGGCCAGGATTGTCTTGATCTGTTGACCTTGTTATCTGTACACCTCAGCCTCCCAAAGTGCTGGGATTACAGGCGTGAGCAACCGCGCCCGGCCAGAAGCCAGTTTTTAATCATGGTTTTGAAATAAGAATATGAGGTCGGGCGTGGTGGCTCACGCCTGTAATCCCAGCACTTTGGGAGGCCAAGATGGGTGGATCATCTGAGGTCAGGAGTTCGAGACCAGCCTGGCCAACATGATGATACGCCATCTCTATTTTTTTTAAAAGATTAAAAAAAAAAAAAGATATTAAAATAAAAAAAATAAAAATAAAGAACATAGTATGGAAAAAAAAAGTGTATGGCTCATATTTATTGCCATTTTAAATATTAGAAGGAGATTTGGGTCTTTATTTAGAAGTTTGGTGATGTTTTTGTGACTGAAAATATGCTCTAAGAACTTAACTTTTGTTTGTGCATATGGTAAAATTGATTTTGCTACACATCTTTGACTTGAAGTCAGTTTCCAAGAACCTATCGATGATGTTAAGTGAGGATAGTTAAATATATATAAATTTGGCATTCATCAACAACTTATTTCTGTAGTTCTATTAACTTTGTAGTGTGTGTGTGTGTGTGTGTCAGATGGAGTCTTGCTCTGTCACCCAGGCTAGAGTGCAGTGGTGTGATCTTCAGCTTACTGTAACCTCTGCCTCTCAAGTTCAAACAGTTCTACTGCCTCAGCCTCCTGAGTAGCTGGTACTATAGGCATGTGCCACCAGGCCCAGCTCATTGTTGTATTTTTAGTAGAGATGGGGTTTCACCATGTTGGCCAGCTGGTCTTGAACTCCTGGTCTCAGGTGATCTGCCTGCCTCGGCCTCCCAAAGTGCTGGGATTATAGGCATGAGCCAACTGCACGTGACCTGTTTTTTGTTAAGACAGAGTTTTGTTTTGTCGCCAAGGCAGGAGTGCAGTGATGTGATCTCAGCTCACTGCAACCTCTCTGCTTCCTGGTTCATGCGATTCTAGTTTCTCAGCCTTCCGAGTAGCTGGGATTATATAGTCGTATGCTACCATGCCTGGCTAATTTTTGTACTTTCAGTAGAGGTTGGGTTTCACAATGTTGACCGGGCTGGTCTCGGACTCCTGGTCTCAAAGGACTGGGATTACAGGTGTGAGCTGCCATGCCTGGCCAGTTTTCTGTTTGTTTGTTTTTAGATGGGGTTTATGTTGCCCCGGTTGGAGTGCAGTGGTGTGATCTCAGCTCACTGCAATCTCTGGGTTCAAGTGATTCTCCTGTCTCAGCCTCCTGAGTAGCTGGGATTACAGGTGCCTGCCACCATTTTCAGCTAATATTGAAATGTTTTGTAGAGATGGGGTTTCACCATGTTGGCTCTTGACCTCAGGTGATCTGCCTGCTTTGGCCTCTCAAGGTGCTGGCATTACAGGTGTGAGCCACTGTGCCCGGCTTTTTTTTTTTTTTTTTTTTTTTAAGTTGTGTATATATAAGTCATATAGCATGATGTTTTGATGTACGTAGTGAAGTGGTTACTGCAGTCCAGCCCATTAATATAGCCATCATTTGATATAGTTACCCTCCTTTTGTGTTGGTAAGAGCCCCTAAAATACACTCTCCGCAAGTTTCTGGTGTATAATGCAGTATTACAACTCTAGGCCTCACGTTGTACATTAGGTCTCTAGACTTACTCATCCAAAATATCTGTAACTTGGTAACCTTTGACATTGATATCCTCATTTCCTCCCTACCTTCTAACCTCCTGGTAGTCACCATTTTATTCTCTGTTTCTATGTATTTGACATTTTAAGATATTAGATTTCACATATGAGTGAGATCATGCAGTATTTGTTTCTGTACTGGCTTATTCACTTGGCATAATGTCCTTCAGGTTCTCCCATGTTATACTATACAATGGGGTTTTCTTCTTTTTAAAGACTGAATAATATTTCATTCCATAGTATATACAGACATACACACATCACAATTTCGATATCCGTTTGTACATTGATGGACAAGTAGGTGGTTTATAAATCTTGACTATTGTGAATAATACCGCAATCAACATGGGAGTGCAGATATTCTTATGAGGTAGTGATTTCATTGCCTTTGAATATATACTCAGAAAGGATCATATGGTAGTTTTATTTTTAGCAACCTCCATACTACTTTTATAATGGCTGTACCAATTTATATCCCCACCAACACTGCACAAAGGTTCTGTTTTTTTGACGACCTTGTTACCTCTTGTCTTACTGGTAATAGCCATTCTGACAGTTGTGAGGTGAAATATCATTGTGGTTTAGTTCTGCATTTTCCCAGTAATTAATGATGCTGGGCACCTTTTTCGTATTTCTATTGCCATTTTTATGTCGTCTTGGGAAAAATGCCTATTCATGCTTTTGGCCATTTTTTAATCAGGTTATCTTTTTTTTTTTTCTATCAAGTGGTGTGAGTTCCTTATAGATCTTAGATATTAATCCCTTAATTTTCTGTGTTTTAAAAGAATTGAGTTTCCAGGCACAGACGGGTTTTTTTTTTGTGTTAGTGCATGGTTTTCAAGTTTTCCAGTGTGGTCTCACCAAAATGGTGTGAGGAAGAAACTTATTTATTTAAAAAATTAAGTATCACTTCTTGGTGAGTAGAGTATACGTAGCGGCAGATTTCTTTAAACTTTTTTGAATTAAGAGGGATAAACATATGTCCTGGAAGACTTGAGGATTTTAATTTTGTTTAAAGAATCAATCATACTGTGCCCTTCAAATGACTAATGTCTTTGCCATTTTACAGCATCCTGAGGTTAGCGTTAAACTTGTCCCAGTGGAGCCCATGACTTCTGATCAGGACGCTAAGGTTGTGGCTGAACCGCAGACGCAGAGAGTCCAGGAGGGCAAGGACAGTGCTCATCTGGTGAGTGCTGTCGAATGGGGTGATGGGGGAGTCCATTGCTTTTTTCGATAAAGAATTTTATACTGGATTCAGTAAGAGGCTCTAAACAGAAACACTGGCACATCTTAGGATTTGCATATGGATATTAGAGTCTATAGGGGAGAACAGTTTTCTTACCCATCTGAGGATCATGGCTGAGACCCCTATAACAAAAGATAGATGAACAAGAGAAAAGCATACGCATTTATTTAATAATAAGTTGTCTATGACATGGGAACCTCCTTTGAAAGGAAGAATCAAAGAAATAGGGAAAACTGTATGTTTTTCTGCTAAGTCTGATTCAGATGTTAGTTGTTGAGAAGCAGGATTGGACAAAAGGGATGTGACCTAGAGGTAATAAACTGGAGGAGCTTAGCAAGCCTGTGTGTTCAGGTTTTTCTTGACATCCCTGTGTGATATTCCTCCTGGTCCAAAGCAAAGCCCTTCCGGAAGGGTCTTCAGGGGAATCTCAGCTGTTTTGTGTCCTGCTTCAAGGAAAAAGGGTGAGGAGAATTCTTTCTAGTTTCCATGTCCTGATTCTGCTGTTTCCTCAAATGTCAATGTGCCGTATTTTTGGGGGGCAAGTCCTGAGCCCCTTCAGTCTGAAAAATGTATAGGTAGCTTAGTAGAGGAAACTATAAGTAGTAGGTGATAACAACAAATTTGTTACAGCTGTAGATGCTTAAAGCCTTTTATTTTTTAAATCAAATAAATGCAGTGATTTGTAAATACTTTAATAACATTATAGTTATTATGGTAGAATGTATTTAAAGAGTCCGGTTTTAATGTAAATTTTTTTGACTCCTTTTGTTCATTTAAAAATTTTATATCAAGCAGTAATATTTAAAGTCCCAAAACAGCTTTGAGAAAAGTAGCTCTTCTTACTTTTCCCCATTGAAACTGCAAAGAACTTTACCTGTGATGTTCATTCAGAATTTAAAAATTTTAAGGCTCCTACATTCTGAATATCTTATGAATTCATGAATTTTCATGTAAAATGTGCTGCATTTCTTGGTGGGTTTAGTTTTGCCTAATTACTGTGGGTTGAAAATATGTTTGTTTGTTTTTTAAACATTGTACTGATGTTGTGTTTGTTTTCAATTTTACAGATGAATGGTCCTATATCTCAAACCACTTCTCAGACAAGTTCCATCCCACCTTTGAGTCAGGTAATTCAGTTTTGAGATTAATTAAAGATTGTTTAATCACAGTCAAAGCTCAGGTATAACTTCCTTAAGAAAAATGTGTATTGTAACAAAAATTAGAAAATGTAGATACTTCTCGAAAAGTTGTGGTAGGGGATCCATTCATCACCACACCCCCTGGGTACAGTAACTTTCAATACTGTATGTCTTTTCTAAATTCTATGTGCCTGTTTGGTGTGGACTTCTGCAGACAACAGTGTACCACATAGATTAATTTGTTGTCAAATATTCATCACAAAATTTTCATGTGTCATTGATAATCTGTTATATGTATATGGTTAGCTTTACATTTTGGTAGCTTGTGTTCCTTAAACCACATAAATTGAATAGTAAGCTTTTTTTTTGAGACGGAGTCTTGTTCTCTGTCACCCAGGCTGGAGTGCAGTGGCGCAGCCTCGGCTCACTGCTACCTCCGCCTCCTGGGTTCATACGATTCTCCCATCTCAGCCTCCCGAGTAGCTGGGATAACAGGTGCACACCATACATTCAGCTTTTTTTTTTTTTTTTGTATTTTTGGTAGAGATGGGGTTTCAACCTGTTGGCCAGGATGGTCTTGATCTCCTGACTTTGTGATCTGCCTACTTCGGCCTCCCTTACGGCACCCAGCCTGAATAGTAAGCTTTTACTCAGAAAATTTGTTTCATGTTTTAGCTGTGATGAATAAAGAAGCAGAAATTCATTGGTTTTTAAATCCTGCCTTTCATTATTTGCATATGTACAGTGCTTCAGAGAACTACTACTTGAAATTCAGTTTGATCTAAGGATCTTATAAATTGTATAAAATTTAAAAAGTAAAAAATTTTTAAGTAAAAAAATAAAAATTACAATAAATCTCATTTATTCCCCCCATTATAGGAGTTCATGTAGGAATTAAAGGAGGAGTTGGATTGTTTATCTAATTTTGTTTTTTAAATAGAATTGAGGTCTCACTGTTTTGCCCAGGCTAGTCTCCATCTCCTGAGTTCAAGTGGCATTCCCGCCTTTGCCTCCCAAAGTGCCAGGATGACAGCGTGAGCCACCATGCCCCGTCAGCTTTTAACAGAGAAGAATGTTTAAAAAACAAAAGATACCTTCCAAATTATTATATTTTATAATTTTATTATTTATGTAGTTTTTGTACATTCTGTTTTACATTGATTTTTAAAAAATGAATTTTATAATATTTTAAAGTCATTTTAAATCCAAATATGAGAACTTTGGTAGTCTAGGCTGCAAATTACATAAGACAAAATACATTAGATATCCCTTGAATATAAATCTTTAAGAGATGTTATTTGTTTCGACAAGTTCTATCCTCCCCATGGTTGACTCGCAGCACAATATAATATTCAGACATCTTAAGAAACCTGTTGCAGGCATTGCTATGAGTGTTTTCTAATTAGCATTGTTTGTAGTGCACCTAAAGGTGGGGACAGTTACATGCTTCATAGTTGTCCAGGAGTTTGCACTGGCTTAGTGATTAGGTGTCAGTGCCCAGTAGCCTCCAGTTGTTAGGATGGGCAGGTGAATATATTTAGCAGTCAGGGTTGAGGAACCAGGGGGCTGTTTACAGTTCAGCCTTTCCATTAGAGTTGAGTAGGAAGAGACTTGAAAGAGAGATACCCAAAGAAATACCTGAATAATTCAGGAGCAGGTTTGCATTTATCCACTGGTACTACTTAGTTGTATTTATTATACAGCTTCCTGTCCCCTTCACAAAAATTCATTGAGCTAGTAACTGTTTACAGGTTAGCCAAAGAACACAAAAAAGCAATCTTTATTAGACTGTAAGAATATAGTTTCCCTGTTTAGTATTAGAACAGTGTATTATAATGAGTGACGTGATTGTCAGAATCACTTACATTTGTGTACATATGTTTTCTCCACTAAACTTCTGGTTCTGTGTTCTGTTCATTAAAAGTAAAACTTTATTAAAGTGTAACTTGTATTCTGTAAAATTCACACATTTAAAGTATGCCATTGAATTATTTTTAGTAGACTTACTGAGTTGCGCAACCATCACCATAATGTAGTCTTAGAACTTTTCCCCCAGCCTTGGGCAGCCGCAGACATGCTCTATGTCTCTGAGTCTGTTCCCTTCTGTGGCCAGCTCAATGCATTCTGTCTGGTAGGCAGGCAGCTAGTATTGTCTGCATAAAATTTGAGTTAGCAGTTCAACAAAACTGAGTGCAAGTGATAATGGTGTGATCACTAAAACATTTCCTGTGGCGAGGCTGTTGGGATGAGCGTGGGATACACGTCTTCACACATGTCTTCAAGGAGCCCTAACACAGCATGACTACGTTGTGCATGAGCCTTAGGTAGAGGCTGAGCATACACCTGGAGGTGGGAGGCGCTGAGACCTAGGTGAGTCTAGAAGACGCGCTCTTTATCTTGCCCCTAGTCAAGGAAGGTCATTTTTGAATGTTCTCACCTTGATGTAATAAGGATCTACTGATTTTGAAGTATATTACACTAATAATTATAATCACAGTACTTTGCATTAAGTTTCCCTGAGTTCTAGGCAGGGACAGTGATGAAACGCTGTAGTCCCTCAATATTTCAGAAACTGGAAGGAAACTAGTACTGGGAGTGTCAGAGGGATGGTAGGAAAGCCAGAGGAGTGTGGGGTGGAGGCAGAGAGGCTGACTTACGTGAAGTGTAGTAAGGTGGATTCGGCACAGAGTGAGGGGTCAGTTGGGACCTTAGCAAGAGTATTTCCTGGGACGGATATGAGCAAAAGCCAGATTGCAGTGGGCAAGAGACAGCAGCGGTAGACACAACTTGGACAATGACATGCCTCCTAAGAACTTGGCTTTGAAGGTAAGGCAATGGATAGTGAACGGGGATTGAAAGGGTTTCAAGGGTGTGTATGATGAAGAGTGACTACTGGCAGTGGGCCACTGTGATGGGTTCTTCTGGAGGAAGAAAAAATATCTAACCACTGGCATTCAGCAATAGTGTTGCTTGGTTAAAGGTTCTTTACCTTCCCTGTTAGGGCCACAAACTTCATCTATAGCAAACCTCATTCTTGGTGTTTTTTTGCCCCTCTTAAAGCCCACTCAGAGACTCCAGTTCTTACTTCTGCATATGACCAGCCAAGCAGCTGCTTTTCCCTTGGAGACACTGCATCATCTGTGAATTCATTTTCTATCAGAATGATCCTGTTGTGTTTTTTATAAATCAGCAGCAGGTTTAAGAGAGGAATATGAATGAATGACGATGTTTAAGGGACAGGTAATATTACATAGAAGTGTTTATGTTAAATTACCTCCTTGGAAGAAAGATGTGAAGTCATATCAAGTCTTTTCTGTAATCATAGTGTGAAACTGGAAAGCTGAGATTGGGACTCTAACTCGCCCCCATACTAAATTCTATATACAGTTCAGCAAAACATCTGTGTCAGAATGATTTTTTTTTTTTTTTTTTTTGAGATAGTCTCACTCCATCATCCAGGCTGCCTGTAGTGCAGTGGCGCGATCTCTGCTCACTGCAGCCTCCACCTCCCGGGTTCAAGCAATTCTTGTGCCTCAGCCTCCTGAGTAGCCGGAATTATAGGCGTGCACCACCATGCTTGGCTAATTTTTGTATTTTTAGTAGAGATGGGGTTTCGCCATGTTGCCCAGACTGGCCTCAAACTCTGGCCTCAAGTGACCTGCCTGCCTCAGCCTTCCGAAGTGCTGGGATTACAGGCGTGAGCCACTGTGCCCATCCCAGAATCGTTTTTGGTTTTTTGTTTTTTTTTTTAAACTGCTTTACTGCCTCAACTGCCTCCTCTTCAGTCACCTTTGCCTGAAAATCACCTTTGCCTTTTGATGACACAGCTTCTGAATGAATAATTCTTAGCTATTCAAATTAATTATAGCAGGCCTATATTTTGAATAAGAGTAGGCTAGCAATCAGAAAACTTGAATTTCTATGAAAATATCCAACTCTTGTGTTTGTATGCAAATAACATGTGGCTGCTCTTAGCATGGTATCTTGCAGGTTAAGCCTTTTGGCAGATTGTTGCCACCTTGTCAGTGTGTTTTAAGGAAAGACTTGACTGGGTGCAGTGGCTCACACCTATAAATCCCAGCTCTTTGGGAGGCCAAGGTGGGAGGATTTCTTGAGCCCAGGAGTTCAAGACCCTGTATTTACAAAAAACAAAAAACAACAAAAAAAACCCAGGCATGGTGGTACTTGCCTGTTGTCTCGGCTACTCAGGCGGCTGATGGGGGAGGATTGCTTGAGCTTAGGAGGTCAGGGCTGCAGTGAGCTGTGATTGCACCACTGCACTCCAGCCTGAGTGACAGAGGGAGACCCCGTCTCTTAAAAAATAAATAAATAAAAACTAAAGACCTAGGAACTTTCCTTAAGGATGTTGATACATTTTCCTGTCTTAGAAATATGTTTGTTACTATACCAGAAAGTGTAAAGCTGCCTTTACATGGAATGATTTAGTTACAAAACAAACAGATTCTTCTCTAGTTACCCCCAGAGTGTATGCACGGTTCTTGGTCTCCTGGTAACTTCTTAGAACTTGCCCCAGGATGAGGGATACTCTTTGACCAGATGCCATCTTTTTTTTTTTTTTTTTTTTTTTTTTGGGGGGGGGTCTCTCTTGTTTTCCAGGCTGGAGTGCAATGGCGCGATCTCGGCTCACCGCAACCTCCGCCTCCTGGGTTCAGGCAGTTCTCCTGCCTCAGCCTCCTGAGTAGCTGGGATTACAGGCATGCGCCACCATGCCCAGCTAATTTTTTGTATTTTTAGTAGAGACGGGGTTTCACCATGTTGACCAGGATGGTCTCGATCTCTTGACCTTGTGATCCACCCGCCTCGGCCTCCCAAAGTGCTGGGATTACAGGCTTGAGCCACCGTGCCCGGCCGACCAGATGCCATCTTTTCCTCTTAGAATATATTCGTGCTGAGAAGGCTAGTAGATCCTTTTTAATGTAGAAAATTTCTTTCTGATTAGATAGCATTGTAGCATTTTGATTATAGTA